AGTACAGGAACCGTTCCATCTTTCCTATCTGGATGAACTAATTCGTGAAAAATCCTGTATAATGAGCAAGCATATGTGTGCACACCCATGACAGAGCTCAAGCCCTAAAGAGTGTTTACCACCAGTCTCTATATCGTGTTAGAGAAACCCTTATAGACAGCAACATAACGTAGTTTGTGACTGAGATCATCATTAGTCCCATGGAAGGAAACTAAGACAGAGTTTTCAGACCAGAAAGAAAAAGTCATTTAAAAAAAAATGTATTTGAAAATTGGGGTAAGGAGGTGATGTGAACATTTATAAGAAAATCTTTTAACATGAGACTTCAGCTAATTCAGTACAGAATGTGGATTCTTTTGTTTGTTTGTTTTGTTTTTTGTTTTTTGTTTTTTTGAGACAGGGTTTCTCTGTGTAGTCCTGGCTGTCCTAGAACTCATTCTGTAGACCAGGCTGGCCTCAAACTCAGAAATCCGCCTGCCTCTGCCTCCCAAGTGCTGGGATTAAAGGCATGCGCCACCACTGCCCACAGAATGTGGGTTCTGATAGGCAGATCACTGTGAACACTTACAAATTATACATCACTTTTTACTGACTATAACAGTCCATGCCTATAAGCATTGCTTGCACTGATGGCTCATAGAATGTTCACTGAGGACTCATTTGCATAGCATTATACTGTTTCTCTTTAATGTTAAGAATCTTATATTCACATCTCAAAAAGTCTGCCCCTTGGATTAATAGGTAAAGAAAAGCCTCTTTAAAACAAAATTTTAATTGCATGTATGTAATTAATACACGGGTGTGTGCTGCGCCTATGGTTAGAAGCATCAGCCCCATAGAGCTGGGCTATGGGTCATTGTGAGCCACCTGATACTGGATACAGAGGAGTCAAGAGCAGTACATGCACTTAACCACTAAATCACCTCTTTGGTTCCAAGTCAAGCACTTTCAATAGTAGCCATGTTAAAAGTAAGTGTAGAAACGCGTGTCAATGATAACTTGATCAGAATGTCAGACCCACAGTGAGTAACATAAGGGATCAGCTTTTCTGCAACCTAAGCACTGAGCAGGTCAGGTAAGGCTATTTGGCTTGTGCATGGTGCTAGGTCCATAAACAAAGCCATGAGCAATAATGCAGAGGAGTAGGGCAACAATGTGGGGTCTGAAACACAGTGACCAGGGAGGACAAACCTGACCGTCTGAACTCCTGCAAGAAGCTGCTACTGATGCTCCAGGTGATCTGCAAAGAGCTGGTGCACTTTGCCAGAGAGCAGCAAAAAACTTGGCTCAAGATCTTCAGGAGCTGGAAGAACTTGGAAACCAGCTGCAGCCTGAGGAGATCTGTCCTCAGCTGGACAAGCTGCAGGCCTGGTGTTGCTGGAAGCCAACAGTGTATGTATGGCCATCAGATCTACAGCTGAGTGTGAGCTACACATAGGACCTGACACCATACCAGCTTCCCAAGAATCAGCATGGCTTCACATCTCCTTCCAAATCTCACTAAAGCTCTGTGACAGACTCTATCCCACAACTACACAGGAAGAAACTTTGGGCACTGTACTTCCAGGATAGGCAAAGTGACGTGAAACAGAGCCATCACAGTTTGTCCCTCTGAGCATGGCACTCAGATGCACCTTTTAAGCATATTTAATTTCCAAATAATAGACCACAGCAGTATGTTATTTATGTTCTTACAACCACCGTACCAAGGCATTAACATCCCCTAAAGGAGAAAAGGCATTATTTGTCTTTGGATGTTGTACGCTTTCTTCAAGCTTTTTGGCTTCTTGATATTGTACAGCTTATACTAAGTAAGATGTGAGAAGCAAACCAGTAACCAACACTTAAGAGACTTTGGATTTTTAAAGTGATGTTATATATTTTAAAGAGACTGAACTTTTAAAATGTTTGAATGTTTAAAGACTGTGGGACTTACCAATTTCCAAAATAATTTAGGATACAACTTTGCTTGATTCTTAATGTGTGTGTCCTGGTTATTACTTTGTCAACTTAACAAAATCCTCCTGAGGATTCTGAGAAAGAAAGCTGAACAAGAAGAGTCATGGGAGCAAGCCAAGAAACAGTGTTCCTCCATGGTCTTCAGTTCCTACCTGAGCTCCTGCCTCGGCTTCCCTCAGTGATGGAGTATGTCAGATGAAGTAAACCCTTTTTTCACAAGATATTTCTGGCCAGTAGTATTTGATCTCAGCAATAAAAAGCAAACTGAGACAGAAATTGGTACCAGAAATAGAGTATTACTGTAGCAGACCTGGCCATGCTACTTTGGGGAAGACTGTGGGTGTGTTTGGCACCTGGGGCTAGAAAGGCCACTGAGTGCTCAGAGCTTAATGACCTATTAGGGGATGAGAATACTTCTGATCAGATGTGATTTTTCAGGAGGAAGAACAGACCCTATCAAGACTGTTGAGATTGTTGACTAAGAATTTGGGGCAATGAAACATTTCCTTTACTAGGACAATTGATGGTGACTAACTGGGGCTGAAAAATCAGCTTTGATTAATAAGAGACAAGCATCACTGAGATAAAATCTTCTTGAAGTGTTTTCCCAAGTTCAGCACACAGAAGCTCTGACATAGAAGGGGCCAGGGCCAGCGCATTCTGGCAGGCAAGCTTGGTCTGCCGGGTGCTAAGTTCTAAAGGCATGCAGCAGTCCTAGAAATAGCTGAGACCTCTCACTGAGAGGCCATGCCACGAGAGACATTGGTAAAGGTGGAGCCTGAGTTGCATTGGAAACACTAGGATCGAAGGGGTCATGAAGAGAAGTTGAAGCTTGACACCATGCACCGGGGTCAGAGTCCATGAACATGCCCTAGAGAGGTTAGTGATACAGGTGCAACCTGTGGAGACCCTGCCATACTGGAGATGACAGACTTCCAAGGGCAGTGACAGGCATGGTGTGGAGCTGGCCTGAGCCTATGAGGCAAGCTGTGTGTGCTAAGTAAGGATGGCAGAGCTGAGAGGGGAGAGCTGTCCTCTGGAGCCCAGAACATCAGGAGTGTATCCCAGATGCAAGACACTGAGCTGCAGGACTTGATTTACACTGTTGGAATTTGGTTTTCATTTGGTTTGTTTGTAACCATGTCCTGGCTCTTCCTCCTTAGAATAAGAAGTTTGTAACTTAGTTTTGAGTTTACAGGGAACACTTGAGAGACTTCCAATTGTAAAGTGGTGTTAGGTATTTTAAAGAGGCTGAACTTTTAAAGTGAGTTTTTAAGGACTGGAGCTTTCAAACGTTGAAATATGTTTTATCTTGTAATGTTGATATTAATATGAGATCTTGTGTATAAACAAGAAAGGAAAGTTATTTGTATGTCTAGATGACAAATGGTCAATTGTCCTGGTTGAGTTTGTTTGTTTGTTTGTTTGTTCATTTGCTTTTTGTCAACTTGATGCACACTAGTGTTAACTGGGAAAGCGAACCTCAGTTGGGAGTGCTGCCATCAGATTGCTTGTAGACAAGTCTATAGGGCATCTTCATGATTGACGTGGGAGGGCCCGGTGTACTGTGGATGGTGCCATCCCTGGACTGGTGGTCCAAGATATATATAGTCTACGAAAGCAGGCTGAGCAAGCTGTGGGAAGTAAGCTGGTATCCAACATTACTCCATGGTCTGTGCTTCAGTTCCTGGGTCCAGGTTCCTGCCTTGCGTTCCTGCCTTGGCTTCCTTTCCCTCTATAATAAAGTGTGGCCTGAGAGTTGTAAACTAAAATAAATAAATCCTTTCCTTCCCAAGTTGCTTTTGGCTGTGGTGTTTCATTGCAGCCATATAAAGAAAACACAGTGAGACACGCATGTTTGTTAGTAGTCGGCACTGCATGGCTCCTGTAAGTACCCCAACCCTTCCTACACTGCTCTCTGTGCTTTCCTCTATCCTGTACCGAGCTTGGAGTGCAGAGCCAGCGTTTGGAGCTACAGTTTGCACACATGTACAAGTGATTCCTATCACTGAAATTGACTCAGACCAGACGTCTCTGAAATCTGTTAAACATGTTTTTCTTGAAAAAAAAAAAAAAGATTTCATGCTCAAATAAGTTTTGGAAACACTGAGTAAGCAGCATTAATTAGATTTATTCCTGTTGGTGTTTCTCAGAGTCCTTATCGCACTAATATGATTCGACCATTGAGTCATTGTGGGAACAGCTCCCAGGATTATTAAGGAACATGGCTGAAGACAGCTTAACTTCTACTGAATTACTGCTTCTTCTACTGATCTGCCTCCAGCCCATTTGATCAAACATTTTCTCAAATAACCTGATCAGAGTTTTAATTACTTTTATACCCCTAAAGTTGACAAGTAGGAGACATTGATAACAAATTATAGAACCTATTTATATAGTTTATCATGAGTTTGGAAATTTCTTGGGCTGCCTTTGACAGGTAAACAGAAAAAAATCAAAACAAAAAACTACAAAACTTTAGTGTGTGGGTATGAGAGACCACTGCTGAATGTATTGTCTAGGCTACGGTACTGTAAGCTTTATGATCTATGTAACACGTGAAATCTAGCCTGTGCCAGGCAGAACAAGAAAACCAAATTCATAGCCTCACTTCAGCTCTTTCATCTGGGCCCTTAATTACTCCTGGTCTCAACAGCAGTGCTCAGGGCCGATTTACATACAGGCTTTGGGGGGTGCAGTGGACTCAGGTGTGATGGGCACTTCTGTCTTAAATCTGAAACAACAATGGGGTTTAAAGATTATAACTGGGTATTACCATTTCTTTACACTGCATTTTTTTTTTAATGTTTGTCTCTCCCAGAGAGTTTTTCTTTAGGAAATGACATAGTATTATTTCTTCATGTCATCAGAATTGAGATGAGAAGCAGGAGCATCTTAGTAGTGGGCAGGAGGTCTCCAGTACCACCACCACCAAAAAGAAGGGAACGGGCTCAAACCTGCTGAGGAAAAAGCTTCGATACCAAAGCAGAATTGTTTTGTGTGATATTTAATACCTTCTTGTTTTCTCTCTGTTTTTACAGTTTTTTGAGGTGCCATTTGACTCAAACATGAGTAGAACAAAGAACAGGCCTCTGGTTCGCGGACAGATAAGGTAAATCGTGACTGATCCTCCTCTACACCCATCATCTTACTCATCCTGAGACTTGTTTTATTGTTCTGCTCATTTAGTGGGATAATTATAGTGCTTTCCCCTAGGTCCCATTACCTAGCTAGTCTAAAGTTCTTGGCCTCATTAGCAGTGTCAGATATGACACTGGTAAAGTGAGCCTTAAATCCAATCAACAAGGTGGATGGCTATTCCCATCATATTTGTGCTACTATTGTACCAATATCTTGCAGACAGGTCACTGTTGTAGCTCTTGTGGTTCAGAGCTGGGTAAGCTGATGACTGCTTTTCTCCTCAGGTAACATGCATGGCACCTTCCAGCGCTATGAGCAGTATTAGTCAGTAGAGATGAAACATCTAGTTAAGCGCCAGCTAGATTTCTTCATGTTCTATGCCATAAGTAAGTGGTATCTTCAGCAATGGGGTCTTACCCTCAGGTTGTAGAGGGTAACCAATTTTATTAGCAATTTAGAGTTTGGATGGGAGGCTCTATGGAACCCCTTTGGCCAAAGACTCAAAAACAGATGTAACTCATTTCCAGCACTGATGGTTTTACTTGCCAATATAACATGTCTAGTTGGGACATTGCCTTCCCCAGTATATGATACGTTCATTTCAATTCCATTCACATGTGTATATATTTTAGGAATCTTCTACAGTAGTAGGTTTCAGTGCAGTTTTCCTAAGGCCTTTAGTGTTAGCTATCCCTCCCCATGCTTCCTCCTCTATCCTGCCCTCCCATCTTCCTCTCCATGTAATCTAATTTCCCGTTCATCCCTTTATAACAGTATATCTCCCCTCCCATGGAAGATCCCCAGAAAATGTGTGTGTGTGTGTGTGTGTGTGTGTGTGTGTGTGTGTGTGTTTGCTTTAATGCATTTACCAGACAGACACTGTCATAGAGTGAAAGGCAGTGATGACCAAAGTAACAGTTCTGTCTTACAGGATACCAACTTCTTAAGGATCTTATACAGTGTGCCAGATTCCACATAGAGACCTATCCTAGGTGATTTGTAAACACAGGAAAACCTATCTGACCAAACACAGGGCCTTCCTCTTCTCTTGCCCCATCTGCCCTGTTTATTCTTCTATTATAGATCACTGTTCTGAGCCCAGAGGTTCTGGAGATCTCTATTGAGTGTCCTTCAGGCTTCACAGGCTGTATTTCCATCTCTGCCCTTTGCCTTACATTTCTTCATTTGTTTTCTAAAGCCAGGCACCTGGAGGCAACCTTGGACTTCCCTTGTCCCTGTCTTTGTTGTTTAGTACCCTCCTGGCCTTTTAGCCTTCTGGACAGTCGAGAATCTGTGTCGCGTTGCCCACACTTGCTGTGGACCACTACAGGTAAATGCCAGTTGCTCAGCAGCTGGCTAGCTTCTCTGCCTTTATTCTTCCATTCTCTTGCTTCTACTCATTTGGCAGATGCATCTTCTTTAAATTATCAAATTGGTTCTTCTTAAACCTTTTTACAAAATGCGGTTAAGACAGAATATTTTGTTTTGATTCTTTCTGGTGTTGCTGAGGCCTTTTCTTGGTGTGTTTCCCTGCAGCTCTTCCAGCCTCACCCTGAGGAGTCTGTTGTCTTGTGCTCATCTGCCTTCACCCTACACCATGCTTCTCCTGTCTGCCTGGCATGCCAGCTGTGCCCACAATGGCCTGGGAGCCTGTAGGCTTTGTTGTGCTGCTGTTACTACATTCTGCTTTGTACAAGGTGCTATCACAGCCCTGCTCAGCACTGTCTATTCCTGCCTCCCTCGTCCTCTCTCTATTGCACTGAGTTCTGAGACCACAGTCTGATAAAAGTCATGTGATGTACCAATGAATGTAGCAGACAAAGACAAAGCAAATCTCACATGGCAGAGTGCTGATGGCAGTTGTCTTCATTAGGGTTTCTATGGCTGATAAAACAACATGACCTAAGGCAACTTTGAGAGAAAAGGGTTGATTTCATCTTACACCCACTCTATCTCTGGAGCAAGTCAGGGCAGGAACAGATACAGAGGCCATGGGGGAGCACTGCTTACTTGCTTGCTCCTCATGGCTTGTTCATAGTGCTTTCTTAGACATCTCAGGACCACCGTCCCTGGGGTGGCATCACTCACAGTGAGCTGGGCCCTTCCGCATCAATCATTAATTGCCCACAGGCCAGTCTGTCGAGGTATTTTCTCAACTAAGAGCCCCTCTTCCCAGATGACTCTAGCTTATGTGAAATATAGTAAAACTCGCCAGCACAGCGATGATGAACAGATAGACAAACAGATGGGCAGACAATAGAGACCAGAAATATCCCGAGACCAGACAAACACAAAAGTCAGGATAGTTTTTGATTTCCTGACATTTCTGTCAAAGCAAGCACGTATGACATAGACTGCCAAGGCACTGAGTGAAGGATGAGTGTGTGAGCTTTAAGATTAGAGGAGGGCAGCCGTATGAGATGGCAAAGCAAGTAAAAGCACTTGCTGCCAAGCGTAATGACTTCAGTTCAATCCCCTGGGTCCACTTGTTGGAAAGAGAGAACTGATTTCCACAAGTTGACTTCTGACCTCCGCAAGCATGCTGTGGCATGTATACATACACATAATAAATAATAAATGACATTATAAATAAATGGCATTTTAAATGCTTGCAAAGGGGATAAGAGGAGTGCACCTTCAGACTTGCAGAATGCTCAGTAAAGACAGCTCTGGACACAGTGTACGGGGTAAAGTAGGTGGCGCATGCTAAGGAACAAGGAAGAGAATGCTGAGATGCAGTTAGGAGAAACCATTGCAAGAACTGACTTGGATTCACCTGGGCAGCCAGAGGCAGTCAGTCACATGAGTGCAACCCTAAAACAACCCCTCAGGGGGTGAAGATCACTAGAGGGGAAAAAATAGAGACCTGTTACAAGTCCCAGAGGTCGACCTCAATGACAGTTAGGAGCAAGAATGGGGTGGGATGGGAGGCTGAGTTATAGTGCTGAAGTCTCTGAAGTCCCCTGTGTCTCTAACCAAGCTGATGAGAGGGTGGCTGGTGGCTGCTTTCCAAGCCTCTGTCTGCTGTATGAACTGCCTGTCCCCCGCAGATGGACTCTGCCCATCCCACCTCCCTCCCTCACCCCCGTGACTTTTTGCCTGCTTCTCTTTTCTCCTTCTACAGCCCTTGATCACTAAGGAAGTTGTTTTTCTCTGCCATGGCCCTGCATCCACTTCCGTCAAGTCTTACAGGTTTCAGGTAATTCATAAGGCGGAGGAGCCAAGAGAGCTTAGGATGTAATCATTGAGGACTTGTGGATCTAGTGTGGCGCCTAGTCCTCTGACCACCACCACTGAATGAACAATTCTTTAGCCCTTGGAGCCAGACCTACCTGAGACAGGCAGCCTTCCCAGCCGCAGGCCTCCTGCTGGCCAAATGCTTTGAGTGCTAAGTCACTGCAGCCTTTGCATCCCCCTGCATCATCACTAGGCCTTTCTCCAACTTGAGCGAACATAGCCACTGTCCCCTAGCTGTGTGTGCATGTCCTTTATGGATGACTTCAGGGGACTGTGAAGGACAATTTAGAGTCTAATACGTTTCCCCTCAGGGCTGACCTACATAAACTGAATACATTGTAGGGCTGGGCTCCACATGTTTCAAAATTAAAGGGTATCCAACCTGAGACAGCCTTTGCAGCCGGTGCTGCTCGCCTGTTCTTATAATCACTGCCTTCTGTACAGCTTGTTTACCGGACGGGGCGGGGGGTTGATGCTGGTTGTAGTTGATAACTAAGGAATAGTAAGTTAATTCACTTTTTTTAAATAATGAAAATACACTCTTTATATTTTAAACATAGAAATTTCTTTATTTTTATTAGAACCGAAGAGTGAAATAGAGCTAAAATACAGTCTAATGAGAACAAACTTACAAAATTATTTTTTTCTCACCTTCCCAAGACAAGTAGGACAGTGCCTCAGTTTTAATTGCATGCCAACAGCCTGTATAAAACACCAGTTGCCGTCTGGCATGGTGGTCCATTCCTATGATGCCAGTAGTTATAAGGCTAAGAGGGAGGATCACAAACTCGAAGGCAGCCCAGACTATGCATTGACTGAATTGAAAAGCACAAAGTAATTACAAAACAAAAAAATACTAGTCGCAGCTATAGCTCAGTTGGTACTCAGTCTGTACTCAGCATATGCCTGACCCTGTGTTTCCTGGCACTAGAAAAGCCACTTCCTTCGTTGTTCTGTTGTCACAATTTACAAAGAATGAAAACAAACAGTTGTTAATCATACCCCATTTGAAAAACACTGCTCCCATTTTCTTCACTAGTGAAAGAAATGGTGTCCTTATGTTAAGATAGGTGCCTGGACTCATCCTAAAACAAACAGACATGGTTCTCTGCCATTTGAGTGGGTATCGTGGACCCGTGGTGCCTTACAACAGCACAGATAGTTAATGGAAGCATCTTTACAGCTTCTGGTTACCAGTGTCTTTCCTATGGAAACACTTGACCCTGTGGCTTCCTGCTTTTTCCTTCACCTCTGGGCCTTTGTGGCAGAATGATTTATCAGGCTCTTTAGCGGTATGGGAGCCACCATGTGACAGTGAGCATATCACTCAGGAAGGGCCCAGATGCACTCGAAGCCTTCTGGAGCCACAGTGCTCTTGGCTAAAGAGCTCTCGTATCTGCCTGGAAGGAAGTCTGCAGAGAAGTGCTCCAGGGGGTTGGTAATGGAGCTGTCTTAACCTTGCTGTCATCTCCAGGAGCGTAGCCCTATTGGAGCCAAAGCGCCGCAGCTGTTCTCCTGGGAGCATGTGATCCCTGCTTCAGACTGACCACTCCTATTGGCAATAGGGGTCTGTCATGTACAAAGTTACAAGGTGGTTTGCTTCTGAGGTTTCTGGGGCTCTGGTATCCTGTTGTTTGCATATTCTCACTAGGTCTTTTCTTCCTACCCTTTATGTTACACAACTGTCCAGTGTTGGTGAACTGTCCCACCCTGGAAGCTCCCATCTTCCTGTATATTATTCCTAACTGGATAAAATGGATTTAGCAGTCAAAGATGCCTGGAGGAATGGTTTGACATGAATAATCCCAGTATTTTTTTCCCAAGATTTACTTTAGTTACTATAAGGATAAGAACAAGCAGGTGTGTATAGCACATTAGAGCTATGGCGGCTAGGAGGTCTTGGGGAGTTGTTGGAAGCACTGACTAGTCCTCCAGGCTCTATGTAGCTCTGCTGAGAGCAGGGCATTCCACCCAGGCTCAACCTTTCCCAAGACTTTCCAGCCATGCCACCCCTGGGATCTCTTTTGGCTTAACACTTAGGGTGTCTTCTCTCCTAGACAGACACCTGCTGGCTGTGTACAGTGGCTCTTCTGTTTGTCCTCTTTGGAGAGAGCATCCCCCTTAGCATGTACTGCTTGCAGCTAACCTCCAGTCTCCTGGCCACCTCTGCTTCTCTCTGTTGCACCGCACTGTGCTCTCTAATGCTAACCTTCTGCATTACTCTCTCACTTCGATTCACACATCCCCAAAGTGACCATCTCAGCCTTAGCCCTCAGACTTCAGTTTAGTTCTCTCAAGTCCAAAGCTTTAAGAGAAAAAAACTTGATAGCCCAAGTGTGAGCTGGTAGTTCACCCCTGACCCAGATCCCTGGGGCAAAAGAAAAGCAAACTTGCAGTTAAACGTTAGAGATGGCAGGAGACAGGGGCTGCTGTGCCTAGACAGTTTATGCCTGACTTCAGCTGATGTTCATCTCCAACCCTGGGTCCACAGGATGACTCTTAGGCTGTAATCCACCTCTCCTGCCTCAGCACATTACTTAGACCAAATCTTGTCTAGGCTTTTTTCTTCATACTCAGTCCCAAAGAGGATTCTTAAACAGTAATAACTGCATTTGTTTTGCTTCAGATGCACACACCTGTCCCTCCCTCCCCTCTTTTCCCCTTTCCTCTCCTTCCCCCCTTCCTTTCCTCTTTTCTCCTCTCTTCCCCCTTCCTCTCCTCCCCATCTGGCAGGTCTTCCTCAGCATTGTTTCATTGATCTGTCAGAGTTGAAACTTTCTGTTTTCCTTGTTTTCTGAGAGTGCAAAAAGATATAGTCACCTATAATCTACTATCTTCAACAAACTTGAGGTATTCCAGTTTAAATTTCCAGTGTGCCTTATGTAAGTAAGGTAGTTCAGTGGTACCTACCCCCGTCATTGGTGTGTTCAGTTAAATTCATATTTTTAATATTTTCAAGGCCTAGTATTTCTTCTAAATGTTTTAGGATTCTCACTTTTAATTCAACTTATCAAAACTGTATTGATTACCTGTGGTGGTAACAGCATTGTGCATTTTGTTTGTGTCATAGTGAAAACTTTATAAAACGGACAGGAAAATTAGATGTGCAGAAGCCTTCCCATATAGGGCTGGGCAGCCCCAAAGTTAAATGAAATTAATAAATTGGTGTGAATAAAGGTCTCTGGGACATTGTAGAAGACACAGAACAGGACAGAGTGGACATTGCATGCCTCCTGACCAGGGCTGCTGGACTAAACCTTTCTTCCTGTTATTTTGGAAGGCATCTGTATTTTGATTACACTGCTCTTGGATTTTCCATTTTCCAGCTTGGTGATGCTGACACAGAAATAATAGATGTCAACATTAGTTTTTCCAAGTTAATGGATCAGATGCGGGTGATCCATAACGCGTGAGCTTGGGTGTGGGCTGTAAGCAGGAGAGATTGCCTGATAAGAGCTGAGCAGGAGGCTATTTGGGGAGGATAAATGGAAACCCTTGGAATCAGGTCAGCCACACCTGTCTTTAAAATGAATGATAAAGACTGAGTTTTAGAACGAAATGAATGGATTGTTTAGTTGGCATTACTAACTCAAAGTGCGGGGTTTAGCTTAAGTATTACAGGGACTTACAGAAGACATTTTTCAAATTTACTGAAGGTTTTACCAGTAAGCACTTAAGCAAATGTAAACAATGTGTGGGCTACAGGGGAGCTGTATTAGTCACCACCAGTCCCGCTGGTCTAGTGGATTCGGACCCAACCAGGCACAGGCCTGCACAGCTTCGAAGGCTTGTTATGATTAGTCTCTCAGTGTGTGTATACTGCTAATGTAATAAGAACATAAACATTTGGTAAGTATAGAAATTTCTTTCTGTAACGTTAACCAGTGATTTGAAGCAGCAGGAAAAACAAATTTGATCTCAACTTAGTTGCAGAGGTGTTAATGTAGAGAAGATTGTTCTGGAATAAGATCGTTCAGTATCATGAACCCTGGAGTTGAGGAGTCAGCAAAAAGTCTTTGTACATGTCTTTGTGTTGAGTCATTGCTAAGGATGAGCACACTGGGAGTCTCTGTCCCTGAAAGCCACAGTCTCCCTGGTAGTCAGGAGAAAAGGGAAAGCAGCATGCCTGACTGTGAAGTACTCTATTTGTGATGGGTTCTTCAGGTCCCATGTCCCTACCTAATAGCTTCAAGATATCTCGATATTCTAATAAATATTCACTTGAAGAGATAGCTGTTATATCTTAGGAACTTGGTCTGTTTTTCTTTTTGTTTTTGTTGTTTATTTTGTTTAACAGTAGTCAAGATACACATAGGCTGATGTTCCTCTTCTCAAGACTGGACTGTACAAATGCTGTTCCCACTGCTGAGTGTGAGTGTAGGCTTAGAGGTTGTCTTTCATGTGGTCTGTAAGAGTTTATTGGGCAGCACTCTTGGTACAGAGAACATCAAGTTGAACGTTGCAGACTAACTACACTAAAGTATGACCTGGGAGATGTACATGCAGGATGGTGGACTCACTTCACACAAAGACCACGAAGGGCTGCAAGAGCCCCAGAACAGACAGGGAGGTCCCCCTCCCACTGGTGATGGGGTTCAGGAAGAGAAAGACAAGAGCCCAAGAACAAATATGGAGGTCCCTCTCCTGCTGGAAGATGAAGGTGAGGGGGAAATGTTCTTGGAAATGTTTTATTGCTGTTTTATTGTTATGCCATTGCTTTTGTCTTCTGGACGTGCTAGGGATGGGCCCGGGCTTCATGCAGGCTGTGAGGGAGGCATTTGTACACTGGCCTAAACCTTCACTCTTGTCTGTCCACGAGATGATCTGAAGCATGGGGGGCAGCATTCATAAAGTTAGCAGGCACTTGCTCTCCTACCTAGACCCAAGAGAACAAACAGTGGAGAGACCACAGAGCAAGTCCAGACTGTGCGGGCCTGCTATGCTTGCCTTAGCCGCCAGCGT